TGCGGGAATGTCTGTGTGGGTGCGCAGGGGAGCAAGTGTGCAGGGAGGTGTGTGCAGGAGTGCAGGGAGGTGTGTGCAGGAGTGCAGGGAGGTGTGTGCAGGAGTGCAGGGAGGTGTGTGCAGGTGTGCAGGGAGGCGTACAGGTGTGCAAGGAGGTGTGGGGGTGTGTGCAGAGAGGCGTGTGAGTGTGCAGGTGTGCAGGGAGGCGTGTGGGTGTGCAGCGAGGTGTGTGCGGGTGTGCAGGGAGGCACATGAGTGTGCAGGGAGGTGTGCGGGTGTGCAGGGAGGTGTGTGTGGGTGTGCAGAGAGGTGTGTGGATGTGCAGGGAGGTGTGTGCAGGTGTGCAAGGAGGTGTGTGGGTGTGCAAGGAGGTGTGGGGGTGTGTGCAGAGAGGCGTGTGAGTGTGCAGGTGTGCAGGGAGGCGTGTGGGTGTGCAGCGAGGTGTGTGCGGGTGTGCAGGGAGGCACATGAGTGTGCAGGGAGGTGTGCGGGTGTGCAGGGAGGTGTGTGTGGGTGTGCAGAGAGGTGTGTGGATGTGCAGGGAGGTGTGTGCAGGTGTGCAGGGAGGCGTACAGGTGTGCAAGGAGGTGTGGGGGTGTGTGCAGAGAGGCGTGTGAGTGTGCAGGTGTGCAGGGAGGCGTGTGGGTGTGCAGCGAGGTGTGTGCGGGTGTGCAGGGAGGCACATGAGTGTGCAGGGAGGTGTGCGGGTGTGCAGGGAGGTGTGTGTGGGTGTGCAGAGAGGTGTGTGGATGTGCAGGGAGGTGTGTGCAGGTGTGCAGGGAGGCGTACAGGTGTGCAAGGAGGTGTGGGGGTGTGTGCAGAGAGGCGTGTGAGTGTGCAGGTGTGCAGGGAGGCGTGTGGGTGTGCAGCGAGGTGTGTGCGGGTGTGCAGGGAGGCACATGAGTGTGCAGGGAGGTGTGCGGGTGTGCAGGGAGGTGTGTGTGGGTGTGCAGAGAGGTGTGTGGATGTGCAGGGAGGTGTGTGCAGGTGTGCAGGGAGGCGTACAGGTGTGCAAGGAGGTGTGGGGGTGTGTGCAGAGAGGCGTGTGAGTGTGCAGGTGTGCAGGGAGGCGTGTGGGTGTGCAGCGAGGTGTGTGCGGGTGTGCAGGGAGGCACATGAGTGTGCAGGGAGGTGTGCGGGTGTGCAGGGAGGTGTGTGTGGGTGTGCAGAGAGGTGTGTGGATGTGCAGGGAGGTGTGTGCAGGTGTGCAGGGAGGCGTACAGGTGTGCAAGGAGGTGTGGGGGTGTGTGCAGAGAGGCGTGTGAGTGTGCAGGTGTGCAGGGAGGCGTGTGGGTGTGCAGCGAGGTGTGTGCGGGTGTGCAGGGAGGCACATGAGTGTGCAGGGAGGTGTGCGGGTGTGCAGGGAGGTGTGTGTGGGTGTGCAGAGAGGTGTGTGGATGTGCAGGGAGGTGTGTGCAGGTGTGCAGGGAGGCGTACAGGTGTGCAAGGAGGTGTGGGGGTGTGTGCAGAGAGGCGTGTGAGTGTGCAGGTGTGCAGGGAGGCGTGTGGGTGTGCAGCGAGGTGTGTGCGGGTGTGCAGGGAGGCACATGAGTGTGCAGGGAGGTGTGCGGGTGTGCAGGGAGGTGTGTGTGGGTGTGCAGAGAGGTGTGTGGATGTGCAGGGAGGTGTGTGCAGGTGTGCAGGGAGGCGTACAGGTGTGCAAGGAGGTGTGGGGGTGTGTGCAGAGAGGCGTGTGAGTGTGCAGGTGTGCAGGGAGGCGTGTGGGTGTGCAGCGAGGTGTGTGCGGGTGTGCAGGGAGGCACATGAGTGTGCAGGGAGGTGTGCGGGTGTGCAGGGAGGTGTGTGTGGGTGTGCAGAGAGGTGTGTGGATGTGCAGGGAGGTGTGTGCAGGTGTGCAGGGAGGCGTACAGGTGTGCAAGGAGGTGTGGGGGTGTGTGCAGAGAGGCGTGTGAGTGTGCAGGTGTGCAGGGAGGCGTGTGGGTGTGCAGCGAGGTGTGTGCGGGTGTGCAGGGAGGCACATGAGTGTGCAGGGAGGTGTGCGGGTGTGCAGGGAGGTGTGTGTGGGTGTGCAGAGAGGTGTGTGGATGTGCAGGGAGGTGTGTGCAGGTGTGCAGGGAGGCGTACAGGTGTGCAAGGAGGTGTGGGGGTGTGTGCAGAGAGGCGTGTGAGTGTGCAGGTGTGCAGGGAGGCGTGTGGGTGTGCAGCGAGGTGTGTGCGGGTGTGCAGGGAGGCACATGAGTGTGCAGGGAGGTGTGCGGGTGTGCAGGGAGGTGTGTGTGGGTGTGCAGAGAGGTGTGTGGATGTGCAGGGAGGTGTGTGCAGGTGTGCAGGGAGGCGTACAGGTGTGCAAGGAGGTGTGGGGGTGTGTGCAGAGAGGCGTGTGAGTGTGCAGGTGTGCAGGGAGGCGTGTGGGTGTGCAGCGAGGTGTGTGCGGGTGTGCAGGGAGGCACATGAGTGTGCAGGGAGGTGTGCGGGTGTGCAGGGAGGTGTGTGTGGGTGTGCAGAGAGGTGTGTGGATGTGCAGGGAGGTGTGTGCAGGTGTGCAGGGAGGCGTACAGGTGTGCAAGGAGGTGTGGGGGTGTGTGCAGAGAGGCGTGTGAGTGTGCAGGTGTGCAGGGAGGCGTGTGGGTGTGCAGCGAGGTGTGTGCGGGTGTGCAGGGAGGCACATGAGTGTGCAGGGAGGTGTGCGGGTGTGCAGGGAGGTGTGTGTGGGTGTGCAGAGAGGTGTGTGGATGTGCAGGGAGGTGTGTGCAGGTGTGCAGGGAGGCGTACAGGTGTGCAAGGAGGTGTGGGGGTGTGTGCAGAGAGGCGTGTGAGTGTGCAGGTGTGCAGGGAGGCGTGTGGGTGTGCAGCGAGGTGTGTGCGGGTGTGCAGGGAGGCACATGAGTGTGCAGGGAGGTGTGCGGGTGTGCAGGGAGGTGTGTGTGGGTGTGCAGAGAGGTGTGTGGATGTGCAGGGAGGTGTGTGCAGGTGTGCAGGGAGGCGTACAGGTGTGCAAGGAGGTGTGGGGGTGTGTGCAGAGAGGCGTGTGAGTGTGCAGGTGTGCAGGGAGGCGTGTGGGTGTGCAGCGAGGTGTGTGCGGGTGTGCAGGGAGGCACATGAGTGTGCAGGGAGGTGTGCGGGTGTGCAGGGAGGTGTGTGTGGGTGTGCAGAGAGGTGTGTGGATGTGCAGGGAGGTGTGTGCAGGTGTGCAGGGAGGCGTACAGGTGTGCAAGGAGGTGTGGGGGTGTGTGCAGAGAGGCGTGTGAGTGTGCACTTTTGAGGAGAGGGAGGCCGTTTTGGGGAGAGGGAGGTGGTGCTGTTTTGGGGACAGGGAGCAGCTGTGCCGTTTTGGGGACAGGGAAGCCGTTTTGGGGACAGGGTGGCTGTGCTGTTTGGGGAGAGGGTGGTCGTTTTGGGGACAGGGAGGCTGTTTTGGGGATAGGGAGGTGGTGCAGTTTTGGGGACAGGGAGGCCGTGCAGTTCTGGGGACAGGGAGGCCATTTTGGGGGAGAGGGAGGCGGCGCCGCGCCGGGGACGCGGGGGCAGCATCCCGCCGGCTGGCAAGAG